CCCCCCCCCCTTTTTTTTTTTTTCCTCTCTCCTCCCTTCGTCGGCCCGAATCGGTAAGCTTGGTGAAGATCACGCCATCGACGATGACCTCAACCTACGTGCTGATTGGACAGACGGCAACGAGCAAGGGTGCAGAGCACACGGAGATCAGGTGGACCATGATGGCGTCACCTGGACGATCTCCACGAGGCAGAGGATTGCATATGACAGGGCTACGGAGATCTTGCCACGGATGTTGTCGCCATCTCATCCGCGGCCCAATTATCGTTCCTTGTACTTCCTTCTGCTCTGTTGATATGCTTGGTTCCTCATGCATCACTCTGTTCTCCCCTCTTCTTTTTCACCATGACATGCAATCAGGAGATCGCATAATTTTGGAACCCCCTGCGCTTCACATATGTGACGAACCACTTCACGACCCCGTGCCACCTTTTGTACTCTTTCTTTTGCTTATATCATACCAACCCTAGGAATACCCCGTTTTGATTTCTTGCTTTTGGGTGCCGCATTTTCCCTTTTTTCGACTGCTGAGTTCTGTTTTTCTTTTTGCAAAGTCGGGAAATACATGGGAATTTGTGTGCGCCTTAGTGAGCGCACTGGGAATTGGGCTCAGCGGTTGGGAATTTCGGGATAAGCGGAACTTCGACGTGTCCTTTCCGAGTGTGTGAATGTTCCTGGTCGTGTCGGAGAAAACTTTCGGAATTTCGTTCGGATACGAATAAGCGTAGGATTTTCTTTTCTCGCGTCGCTCTTTCGCGGGCGGATATGGTGATTTCAATTTTTGAATTAGGATAGAAGCAAGCTGTAACTGTTTCGGTGCCTTTTTCTCTTTTTTTTTGTTGACGGYGCCGCGTATGCAGAAGCTTTCTCCCCTCTGTCCCCTGTATTGCTCCCCCCCGCGGTCCCCTTCCTTCTCCCTCCTCTTTCTCTCTCCTTGTAACTGTTTTTTTCTCTCTCCTCCCCCTCCCCCGTCTTGCTGGTTGCGCACCCATTTCCCTTTCTTGATCGCCTGAATCTTGGACCCGTCTTGTGCCACCTCTCGTGCCTTTTCTCTTCTCACCCTCTGAGTCTGGCGTACGACGCCCGGTCGATCCCCCGATAACTCCCGCTCGCCAATCAGGTGCGTGGATCGATAGGACCTTCCTATCGCGCGACGAATCTGAT